GGGAAAGTGGCGGGGGGGGAGGGGGTGGTGTGGGATGAATTGGGAGATTGGGATTGACATGTATACACTGATGTGTATAAAACCGATGACTAATAAGAACCTGCAGTATAAAAAAATAAATAAAATAAAATTCAAATAAATAAATAAATAAAAGAAAATTATAGACTAATATCCAGCATGAACACAGACTAAATGTGCTTAAATTTTTTAACAAATAGAATTCAGCAATATAAGAAAAAGGATACTATATCATGACCAGGTGGGGTTTATCCCAGGAAAGGATAAATAAGGTTGGTGTAACATCTGAAAACTAAATAGCGTAATTCACCAAATTAACATACTAAAAAAGAAAACCCAAGCGATCATCTCAATAGACGCAAAAAAAGATCTGACAAAATTCATTATAAAAAAATACTCAGCACACTAGAAATAGAAGAGAATTTCCTCAGTTTGATAAAAGGAATCAACAAAAAACCTAAAACTAACATCATACTTAACAGTGAAAGATTACATGCTTTCCCTGTAAAAATGAGAACAAGGCAAGGACATCTATTCTTACCACTTCTATTCAATATTTTATTGAAGTCCTAGACAGAATAATTAATTAGAAAAAGAAATTTAAAGGCATAGAGATTGGAAAGGAGACATAAAGCTGTCTTTATTTGCAGATGACATAAGGGTCCACACAGAAAAAGAATCTATAAATATATTACGTAGAATAAGTGAGTTTATCAACATCACATGGTAACAGGTCAATATGCACAATCAATTGTATTTCTATGTATTAGCAGTAAACAATTGGAAACTGAAATTTTTAAAAATACCAATTATAACACACCATCAAAAATATTAAATACTTAGGAAAATGTTGAATAAAATATGTGCAAGACCTGTTCACTGGAAGCTACAAAACTGCTGAAATAAATTAAAGAAAACCTAAATAAATGGAGAGAGACATCATACATGTGGGTCAGAAGACTCCCTATTATTAAGCTATCAATTTTCCCAAAACTGATCTACAGATTCAACATACTCCCAGTGAAAACCCCAGCAGGAGTTTTTGTAGAAATTGATAAGCTATTTCTAAAATTTATGTGGAAAGCAAAGAACCTAGGATATCAAAATAATTCTCAAAAAGAGAAAATTGAATGACGTACTACGTGATTTTAAACAGAAAAATTGTGAATAACTAGGATTAGTAGAATGATGTCACAACATTTTACAAAGACAGGTCTTTCCACTTCCCTAATAAATATTTATTCATAATTTTAAACACAACAAATGATCCATTAAGAGTAGCCATTTACTATAATTTTATGAGTTTTACAATTGCCAGATTCCCATCCAAAGATAATAATGATTCATCTTTCCCCTTTATAAACTACTAGTCATGCGCAAAACTCCACAAATGCTGCTTCCTTGGAACCATCATCTCTGGAGTTTTACAGATGATACTTCTTAACTACTTTCAACAACTTACTTACATGAGGAAAGAGAGACACAGCGTTGAAAAGTTTCATTGATTATTATCAGAATCAGAATTAACAAACACTTCCATTATTAAGTGTTTACTGAAAAAAAGCCAGACAGTAAGTTAAGTACTGGACATACATGATCACACTGAAGAAAATTTGTTGCAGTGAAAATGAAAATCACAAGGGGACTACGAATCAAAGGACAGACCTTTACCTGTGTTTCTCTCAAAAGATTTAGCACACAATTGCACATGTGCTTTAAATACATCAAAATGTGTGTTTCATTCATCTTTAAGGCAAAAGTGTCAGGTAAAGATGAGAGGTGAAGCAAGAAGAAAGAAGTCTTGCCGGTCCTAATGCATTTGTTCTCACTCTGCCCTGAACCACCCCTGAGTGCCATAGCAAACGCACAGGATATTTCATGTCTTCTGGGGAAACACAGCGATACTTGATATCTGCTGGACACCTTGAGAACAAGCTCTAGACCATTCACGGTTTCAAAATCAGATTGCACTACATTCTTTTGATGATTCCATATTTTGTGAATTTGGATTTCTGGTGGTCTCTGTGATTAAAAGAAAGTACTGTACAAAAACCAATGTTGAACTGGAAATGGGTTGGCAGTGTCCAATCTGATTCCAAGATTTGAGAGGCTGTGTGGCTCCCAACAGGTGTGCAAAGATCATTTGTATTAATTTTGTAAGTAATTGTGGTTATTGAATAATGAAATTAAAATATCATTTTTCTTTTCTTTTTTTTTTTTTGTCAAATGACTAATAGGTTACAAGGACACAAAAACTTATTAAGATGTTGGGACCTAATTATAATACTTGATAAATGGAACTGTCAGATCCTTCTTTTGGCCTAGGTGCCATGAAAAATTACTGAGACATCAAGGGTGCCCACAAACCATGAAGCTTTGGGAACCTTGGCCAGGTCTCCTGGGCTCTCTCCAGTGGATAATCCTGAATCCCAGCACAGCTACAATAATCCAAAGCATAAGTGGATTTAGAGTGAAGGTAAACAAGGCTTTGCCCTAGAGCCGGCCCGCATTTGCCCTGCGAGGGCTCTAGCAAAGCATTCAGCTTTCCAAAGCAAACGCTTTTGGAAAATCTGTAGAAATGAAATATTTAAACTGCAGTTGGTTGAAACCATTGTCTCCTTCCCTCCGTCACACATCTCCTGTCCTGTAGGAGTGCTGTGGGCATTTGGGGATGTGGCTAAGAGCAAAGTAAAACTAGAGGGATCATTTTGCTTTGCGTTTAATTTATGTGCTTTGAAGTCACTTCTGGCTCTAGTTATCTATCCTGGGACAGAAATGGTTTCCAGGGGCACTGCTAATGCCACGCTGCCAGCGCCCCTACTGCAGGCCACAGGTTATATAGAGTACGGTGATCTGGCCTGGAAGTATGTGGGTCGTGGAGAAATATGCCAGAGGAAAGACTAAACTAACAATAATAGTAGTAATAATAATAATGACAATAAGAAGAAGAAATAATTCTATTCTCTTCAGAGGAAACATTACAAAATATGTCACATGAAAAGGCGATCAAAGAATCTACAGCCAAAAAATAGGGGGGGGGGGCGCGGCGGGGAGGAGTATTTTAAAGGTGAAAGTGGATCCGGTAGTTACTAACAACATCATGACAGTTTTCTGGGTTTTGTGGAGTTTGTAGAATTTGTCCACTTTAAAAAATTTTAATTTGTGGCAGTTTGTTTTCTGTCTAAGTAAGGAATCCTTTCCATGCCTACTGCTGTATTCATAATTGTGAATTCTTTTTCTTAAGAGGGTGCCCCTTTCAGATCCCATAACACTGGACCTGCCAGGCGTAGGTGGGAGTACCAAATCTTGCCCAGGGGCCAGGCCTGGGTCCCACCCTTGTGGCTCCCTGACCCCCTAGAGCACGTGGCTGGCTCACAGTGTTAAGAGGGGGATGCCCGAGCCAGGCCAGCAGGACACCTGAGCTACACCTACAGGACACACCGCCTCTGCCAGCCAGGACTCTCAGTGACCGACAAGTCACCATGGCCAGTGTGCCATGGATACACTTTATTTTTAATTGTTTTTATATTGGAGTAGAGTTGATTTACAACATCGTGTTAGTTTCAGGTGTACAGCAAAGTGATTCAGCTATACATATCTATACATACCAACCTACATCTAAATCTATATATATCTGTTCTTTTTCAGATTCTTTTCCCTTATAGGGTATTACTGAATATTGAGTGTAGTTCCCTGGGCTCTACAGTAGGTCCTTGTTGTTTATCTATTTTATACATAGTAGTGTGTATATGTTACTCCCAAACTCCTCATGTATCCCTCCCCCCAACCTTTCCCCTTTGGTAACCATAAGTTTGTTTCCACTGTAGGAGGACCAAGGCGGCCCTCCAGGGTGGCCCCCGCTCCACATCTGGCTACAGTTGGCCTAGAATTGGATCTGGACGCTCTGTCCCTCGGCCCCGTCCCTTGGTCCCTTGTCCCTTCTCCATGCGGAGCTGCCCGCCCTCTCCCACCCCGGCTTAGCAGCTCAGGTTCACAAACCCAGAGTGTCCGAGGGAGACAGGAAGGCCAAGCTGGACTCCAACCTCAGAACATTCTTAGCAGGGTCAGCAAGGCTGGGTAAGGTCGCAAGGCTCCTTGTTAATGCCAGAGTGACCCCAGAGCAGACCTGGCCTCCAGTCCCGATTCTCTGCCCCTCACAGCTGTGTCGCTTCAGGCAGCGGCTCTGCCCGTCCAAGCCTCATTTTCCCCTCCTACAACATGGAGATAATACCACTACTTCTGGGGGTTGGGAGTCCTGAATGAGAAAAGCACAAAAAGCACTAAACCCCATGCCCGTCTCGAGGCCACGAGCGGGGTTATCACCTCCCAGTTCTCAGCCCTGCACTCCCCGGTGCATCTCAACACCTCCAAAAGGCTCCTCCCACACTTCTGAAACTTCTAAGAATCCCACTTCTACATTCTAATTCGGGCAGGTCTGGCCCATTTTCGGTGTCTCCCCTGAGTAACTGCCACTTGGGGTGCATGAACTTACTGCAGGACCCCCAAGGACATCCCCATCTCCTGTCTCATCCACAACTCCCTCCATCACGTGGCTTTGAGTCCCCAGCTCTATCTCCCAAGATTCCTTAATGCACACTCTCCACTCCTGCAAACCTGCAGGGAGGATCTTACCTCCAGTCTACAGAGATGGGGAAACAAACGGAGGATCAGAGAAGTCAAGCATGATGCTCAAAGCTTCAGAGCTGGCGAGCGGCCATCTGTCTGGCTCCCCAGCTGGACTCTTTGCTCTGCCTCTGTGGCCTCCCTTCCAGGTCCCAGCCCTTTCACCCAGCCTCCAGTCCCCCGCAGCTCCTGCAGTTGTGGGGACACACTTCCCACTTCCAGGCCCGAGAGCTCAGAGCCAGGATTCAAGATGAACAACGCAACCTTCCCTTCCAGCAAGAACAATCATGCTCTCCAAATTCTCAACAGAGTTGGTAAGCAGGGCTAATTGGGAAAACAAAACACAGTATATTCGAGGAAAAAGAAATAAATCCTCCTTTATTCAACGGGAACAGCATGTTCTCAAAAACCGTCCCACATTTAGGACCAGCTAGATAATTTGCAGAGCCCAGTGCAAAAGGAAAACGTGGAGGGCCCTTGTTCCAAAATTATTAAGAATTCCAAGCTGGTCACAGCAGAGCATTAAGCCAGGGGTGGGCTCCTCCTGAGGGGGTGGCACACCCATGAAGCTGGCCCTGCCTACTTTCCAAACTCATCTGTTTTAAAACCCGAAGTGCACATGAAGTACTGAGAAGCATCACACGTGCTCAGGACCTGATGGAGATGCTGCCCTAATCTGGCTGAGCCCAGGAGCCCACAGGCAGTCAGTCTACAGGAGCCGAGGAAACGTCCCATATGCTAGCGGGCAGACACCCCCCTCCTGTGATCTAAGATGCCTGGTACAGCTCACACTCCGTGAGGCAACCCGTGCGACCGCGGCAAGCCCCTCGTGCCGAAGGTTCCTCCTCTTTAAAATACGGAGGCTTAATCGGGTGGCTTCCAAGGTCCCTCTCAGCTCCACAGAGAAAGGGAAGAACTCACTTGTGATTTTTCACCTAATTTCTTCAACTTTAAACGCCCGCAAAGTCAGTCATACTTTAAAGACTACTAATCGTAGCAAGTCGACAAGATGCAGGGGAAAGGACAAAACGGGAAGAAAGCAGCTCAGCCAGAATGATGGCTGGATTCATCCAGGGTCTACTTGCCAAAGGACTGTGGCAGGCCGGTCAGGGCAGCCTCCCTCCTGCTCGGCCCCAGTCCCCCGACACTTCCAGTCCAGCCCTCTCTTCCTTCCGTGTGTGGACCTGGGCATAAGTGACAAAAGAAATAACGTTCTTTTGAAGGCAAGGGCACATATGCATTGTACAGAGGTTGGAAGTGAAAGCCAATGGAAAACATATTCGCATTTTCATTTGAAGGACCAGAAGAAGTAATGACCCCTGAGATGCCAGCTTGGACCCACAACTGCTCTGAACTCAAAGTCCTACCCAAAAGCCTTGGGAAATTTCTCTTGGCCTCCAGCAGACACAGCCAGCCAGTCTCCCACAGGCTCAGAAACTGTAAATAAAGGAGCAAACACAGCAGGCTTCCAGTGGGGTGTCATGGAAACTTAAAATAGCCTTCGGGAATGGCTCAGTTGAGTAAGGGGTCTGGGACGCACTCCTCACCTGTCATCAGCCACCCTCCCACAGCCAAAGCACCCCGAGCAGGGGCTCCCCATGTGAGGTCCAGTCTCTGGAACCCCATCCTCCAAGGACCAGCCTAGATTCGGGCCTAGAAACCAGTGATGCCTCAGAATGCACTGCCATGGGGGTGTATGCCGGAGGCTGTCCTCTTCTTCACCTTGAGAGGGTCCCAGGGTCACATGTGAGTATTTCTCTGTCCCTAGTATGGCGAGATTAAAAGTAACTACAAAGAGGCTACTTGCCTGGTAAATAAATCCAGGCCCAAATCCGGAGGGGACCCGCCCCCCCAGGAGGAAATGATTACACGTCCGGCACATCATCCGCGTGGGCCCAGGGGTCTGTTCTCACCGGGCCCATTCCACTCACTGTTCGGCACCTTTACCTAGAGGCCAAGTGGAGCCTGGTGAGGCTGGGGTGTGGGAGTAGGGGGATGGGAACGCTGGGCACCACACTGCCCTGAGCCAAAGGTCCCTCTCCTTCTGCTGGGGATGAAACAGCAGAGAGAATGAGGGCTGCAGGCCAAGGCCAGCGGATGGGGAGGCCAGCCGCGGGCACCACGGAAAGAGAGATGCTGGAAGACTGAGCTTCACCCTGAACAGCGGGCCCTGCCACGACTTTTGATGGCAGGATTGGAAGGTGGCCTCCACAACTCTGGCCAAGCGCGGGCACCCGAGGCCCGAGTAAGACACCTGTGCCAGGTGTGTAGGCGCATGGAGACAGGGCCAGGAAGCGGGCGTTTCAGTAACCCGACACCTCGCAGCTAGGAGGGGGGCTGGTCCACATCCAGGGAAGGCAGCAGGATGCCTTTTCACTAAGAAAGGCTCCTTTGTGAGGTTGCATGATGAATTCGAGAATCACCCTGAGGGGCACAGGAGGAGGAGGCCAGACCACCTGAGGGGGAGACAGAGATCAGGCGGGCTACAGTTAAAGGAGCCGGGACAGCAGAGAAACCCAGAATGCTTCCTCTTCTGCCGAACTTTGACTGCTTTCTCCCTGAGGGTCAGGAGACAAATCAATTTAAACAGGTCCCTAATGGCTAAGGATGCATGAAGTGCAAAGGGGACGGGGCCTCCTTTTTGCAAGAGTGGTTGCCTGGGGGAGAAAAAAAAAAAAGCGTAACTCAGTGACCGCAGCAGAGATGCCCTGCAAGACTCATCTTCTCCATGCTTTCAGTTTGAGTGACTGGATTCTGTCCGTCCCCCTCCATTAAATTCCAAGGAAAACCTGTCAGCCACGGCTCCAACCCAGAGTCTGGCCCAACGCTGGTCTGGAGCGTGGAGACAGCAGAAACAGCAGCGAGACCTTGCACATTCCAGGAAACCAGACCCCCATTCTAATCAGTGCTGCGGCTGCAGATTCCAGGGCAGAGGGGCCCGTGCAGCTAGGTTTCTCTGAACCCTGCAGGGAAAACGCTCAGGAGAGAGAGGCATCACTTGGCTGTGACCAAGGCAGCCGGCTGACGTCTACAATCACCTTAAAGTCCTGTACCTCTCAGGGCCACCGTCTGCAAATCTAAGTGAGACAGATCAAAACAGAAAAGACACAGCTTTGGAATCAAGCTTCCCATGGCCAAGGGCCCTCAGCCCTATTTTTGTCAAAAGAAACTGAATTCGCAGGTAGCAACTGTTATTTTTTTTTAAGATGCATAATGGATGATGGACCACTACACTCTCTGTCTTTTGCAGACAAATGAAGAAGTAAAATTCAGGAGAGTTACGTGTGACCCATTTCTCTGCTCCTAATGAATAAAGGAGGCAGAGGGGGGAGGAGCCCGGGAGCCTGGCCTCAATTTCCAGCCCACACCGGCACTTCCAAGGCCCGGCAGCCCCTGGCTTTCCGGCGCGGTCTCTCAGACGGCTCAGAGCGGGAAAAGCTCGCCTGACGCCAGACCTCAGACTGCAAACCCGTCCCCCCTATCCATGGGCCCTGAGCGAGTGACTGTTTGCAGGGGCTGGGACCAGGCTGCTGCCGGTGATGCTGGAAAAGACTCGGCAGGTGAAGTGAAGGGGGAAAAAGGCGACCCGAACACGTCTAAGCAGCCTCTCTGGAGGAGGAACGGCTTTCGGGGGGCACCCGGCCAGCTGGCCGTCAGTCATGCGCACGGCCCAGTTCTCTGCAGCTTCAGCTCTACTGGCAAAAGACGCCTTTTCCAGAACAATGCGTCTATGTCTAAAGGTGCCTGTCATTGATAACCGCTTTTCACTCTCGCTGGCAAAAAAAAAAGTCCTCGCTTGCATCCTCATGGTGAATGCTTGGGTTTGCTGGGTATCGTTGCCTTTAATCGTTGTTTTCTGACCTGTCGGATGTCAGGAAAATAGTCAGAAAAAGAAGTTTCCCATCAGCTCCACCGCACGATTTCCTTTTTCAGAAGTCTCCTGAACACCCGAATGATGCGTCTATCATCATCTTTGAGGAAACAGCTGACTGCTCCGCTCACAAAAACACCATTAACTTTCCTCCTGATTAGCACCTGGCTCCCGTCCTGACCTCCCCAGATTTCTCAGCTGGGTTCCCTTCCCGCTCCAGCTCCTTCCTCCCGGTTGTTGTGTCTGAAGTGGCCAAGCCAGCGCAGGCTCCCGAAGCCTCCAGCTGCGACCAGCGGGCTGGGCGGTGATGGGTCCATTTATTAAGGGTCTGGGACACACTCCTGAGCTGTCAGCAGCCACCCTCCTGTAGCCCCTGGTCCGGGAGGGTTGGCCTGGGGCTTGGGAAAGGAGAAGCGGGGATGTGATGGTGAAGCAAGGCCCTCCGTCCAGGAAGGGCACAGTTCTTCCTGAGAGGTACCCCCTGCCCGTTTGCTGATGAGCATTGTCTTCGAGGTGTGAGGAGGGTAACTTGTAAAACTGAGACAAAAGTCAGAAGGAATCTTTGGCTCAAGTGAGAAGTAAAGACCCAAGACAAGCCACTTCCCCTCTCTGGGTCTCAGTTACCTCATCAGTAAGACGAGGGACAGACTAGACCATTTCCAACATTATTTCCAGCTCCAAAAAAATATCATATGATCTAATAAATCTGAAAAGTGCACTTCCTGATCTTTTCCTTTCAGTATGTAATTCCCATCCTTATGGAATATTCTTATTTTCCAGGCTGGCTTCCTGCATCCTGTGCTCCAGTTTCTTCTGAGCCATCTGAGCCGTCTAGTCACTGTCAAGGTGACTTCTGGGGCTGGGATTAGGATTTCCCCAGCAGAAAGAGGAGATAAAATAAAAGTCTGGCCTTACTACAGTCACACAACAGAATATTATTCGATCATAAAACGGAATGAAGCATGGACACACGCAACGTGGATGAACCTTGAAAACATTACGGTCAGTGAAAGAAGCCAGTTACAAAGGACCACAAATGTATGATTCCATTTATATGAAATGTCCCATGTCCAGAATAGGGAAATTCATAGAGACAGACAGAGATTAGTGGTTGCCTAGGGCAGAAAGGAAGTATGTGGTGACTGCTAACCGGTACCGGGCTGCTTTCTGGAGTGAGGAAAGTATTCTAGAATTGCACAGTGATGACAGTTGCACTACTCTGTAAGTATATAAAAACTCTGATCTATCCGCTTTAAAAGGGTGAATTTTATGGTATGTGAATAATATCTCAATAGAACGGCATTAAAAAAAAAAAAGAAAAAAGTCACTGTTTCTTTTTACTTCTTTAATGTGGCTACTAGAGAATTGCATTTTATGTATGACGCTCCAGTTGTATTTCGGTCTATGTGTAACCAAACAATCGAATAAACATATTGCTCACTTTTCCAAACAAGCACAAACAGTCTGGCCTCCTCCTGCATCCTGGACAGAGCTGGCATCCGGGAGGCTGAGTGCAGAGAGCCGTGGGCTGGGCGTCCAGAAACTCAGAGGCTCTGTCACAGCCTGGCTTGTGACCTCGGGCTTTCACATCCCCTCAATGGTCCTGGCCCCTCAATGAAAACACAAGTGTTGGGCCAGATGACCCGACGACCACACAATCCCCCTTCCAGTCTGTAATCACAACTCCATCCGCAGGTAAAATCAAACTTTAAAAGTTCTCATTCTACCCCAAACATTGCATATCTCCTAAAAGCAGTCAATCTGGGAATAAAAATCACTTCAAGACAGACCAGGTCATTTACTGACTGAGCAGAGTGACCGTTTTGGTACCATCCTATTCCATTTATCCTGAAGGATTTCTTTCAGGAGAATTTCTTCTTGGCTTCTTCTGCCCCAGCTGTCAGTGACTTAGGAGGTGGGTAATTCTATAGCTGACGGCAACGGATATGGGTACAACCCCCTGGAAAATAATTTGGCAACCCCCTGGAAAAAAATGTATGGCCCTTGCCATACACCAAGGGCCATAAAAGAAACTTAACCTTCCATCCAGTCATTGCACTTCTTAGTATCTATCCCAGAAGAATAACCCTAGATTGAGAAATAACCATGAACACAAAAATGTTTGTTTTGGGGCAAACGTGGCCCAAATGGACACCAAGAAGGACTAGTTAACCAAATGGTGGTAATGCTGGGGACAGAAATGATGAAGCTGCTGGAATAATGGTGGAATCCTGAATCTTTTTTCTTCTTTTATTTTTGATGTGATTAAAGTGTATTTATAACTTTCAAACACTGTCATAGTGCAGTATGCCATCAAACGTATAAATGCATTTCCCATGACGTCTAAACAGTACGGTGAAAAGAGATTCAAAAGAGTCTTTATGCTGAGAGAGGAAAATCAGACCACAGCTTAGAAGACATTGAAGCATCTCAGCCCTGGTTTATCTGGTGTGCCCACCACTATATTTATACTAATTTTTTTCTTTTTAGCACGAGCATTGTAATTATGGTTCAAGGGCATTCATAGGTGCTTAGAACTCTTGAGAGGAGAAGTCAGTCATTATACGGATAGCTTTTTGGTCATCTTCCAACCCAAGGAGCTTATTTTTGGCGGGGGTGGGGGAGGAGTTTTCTTTGGCATCATTTTGTAATGGGAGACTAAGTGAAAGCACCCACTGTTTCTGCCTCATGGGAATCGTGTGCATGGACCCCAGCCTCTCCCAAATAACCCCCTGCTTTAGCAGGAAAGTACAGCTGAGGAGGGAAGGGCTCAAGGGCTCTGCCTTGGGCCTCAGGATGGAGCCCACGCTGACCCACCATCCTCCTGCCCCGATGAGCTAAGCAGCTTGTGAGAGTCGTGTTCCCTTTGGGTGCCTCTCTCTGAAGTGAAGGGTTGGGTTATAGGACCTGCGAGAACCTTCCACACTCAGATTTTGTGCACTGGGATTCTGTCCACAGCCAACTGGTGTCTTTGGCTAGTCAACAGCATCTCTGCGAGGGCAGAAATGTCCTTGTCCACAAAATCCCAGAAAACATGAAAATGGAGAGTTGATGTGGTTAGAGATGGGTTGTGGAAGGTGAGGGCACAGCTGTATTTTTCAGAGGATGAAGAACTATATGGCTGACCAACGGTGAGCGTTCCAAGAGAAGAGCCTTGGATGAGAGTGTTCTAGGACCCCATAGACAGAAAAGGATCAGTGCGCATGGGGCCCTTCTAGATGGTCTCAAACTCTTGCCCTTCCTCCTATGCCTTCTATGCTATTATCAGACTTCTCCTCCTGGGTTTTTTCCAACGAGGGCTGAACCACATTGGGCTACATTTTCCAGAGCCAAAAAGGTCAAATTGGTGGAGAAATGTCAAACTAGGACCTAAGAAACCCCAACTCAGGCCATTTCTTGACCAGTAAATGTTCAATAGAAACTGAGCCTGAAAACTCAGCATGCAGACCACAGGCTCCCTGGTAAAGAGCACACGCTCTCTGTGGTGGAGACACAGAGATGGTTGTGTGGTCAGAACCCAGGTTTCCACAAACTGGGAGGCCGTAAAGGAGACAGCAGTTCAGGGCTCCAGAGTAGATTCCAAAGACATCAACATCCATCTTCCGGGAACTGATAGACCAAGCAGGCAGAAAATCAGTACGATATAGTTGACCTTATCAATCCACTAGACCTAATTGATGTTTATGAAACACGCCACCCAACCACAGCAGAAGATTCTGCTGTTCACATGGAACATTCACCAAGAGAGACCGCATCCTTGACCAGAAAACACATCCTAACAAATTTAAAAGGCAAAAAAAAAAAAAGAAAGAAGAAATCATACAAAGCATGATCCTAGACCACAGTGAAACTGAACTAGAAATCAATAACAGAAGGCGAGCTGGAAAACCCACAAGTATCTGGAGATTAAGTAACCCGCTTCTAAGTAACACCTGGGTCAAAGACATCTCAGGAATAATCTTGGAGTGAGGCAGACTTGGGTTCAAATCCTGGCTCCACCTCCCTCTACTGGGTAGCCTTGGACAACTATCAGTCACTTCCTGGAGCCTCATCTCTTCCCAGCTGGAGAACGGAACGATACCCCTCCCTCCCTGGGTGACGGTGAGGGAAGCACGAGTTTGGCCCATAACACGAAGAGCACAGTGCCCAGCTCCCAGAAAGCACCCAGTGGTGGTAGCTCTTCTGGTCACTGTTCTGCCCACTGATGTTTCCTACCACCTGGCTGTCCTGGAGAACACTGTCCCTGTCCCCCCATCCCCCAGGCTAGCTCACCCTCTGCCAGAGAAAAGCAGACGTGACTGCTGAACGTTGAGCCTTCCCTCCTCTGTATCCAGTTGGCAGCCATCGGCCGGGACAACCCCAACTGGCAGAACCCTCTGTGTCCATCCATCCCCCCCGAGCAGGGATGCCGCTTGGAATACTGGCACCAAAGAGACAGCGCCCCTAGTCCTGGGGTGTGAGATGGCTCAACTGTTGGACGATCTAGTAAAATCTCGCCCGAGCCTATGTGGAAGGGAAGTCTACCACGAATCGCACCAAACTCTCAGAAAAAAATGAAAAAATAAAACAGTTTATCAGGCAGACAGGCCTGCCGTCTTCTCCTTGAGATCTGATTGCACAACTAATGAAAAAGATGTTTCCTGAGGTTTGAAAATATTGCACAAGGCTCTGACTCATTAAGACCGAGCTTATTCAAATTTGAAAATTATTGAAAATTCCAGCCACAACAATACGCCCTCTGAAACCACCATGTGCCCGAGGAAGCACGATGATCTCCTGGTGAGGGACCAGCTGCTGTCACATGACGCTGTGGAGGACTGCTATTACAGAACACACTGACTTGACAATTTGTCCTAGGAATCGAAAATAATAGGGTATCTGTGGGCTCCCAAACTTTTTTTTTTCCTTAAGATGTGACAAGTCTTTCCTTGTGAGGAATTCCCAAAACGTGGAAAACAAACTAAGCGTCAATCAGGAAGGTCTTGGGGCTGCTATACACTGCTCTCTCCTGGGCGTCACATACTCTAAGGAAGGTTAATGAGATGACATTTGTGAAATCCCAGGCATTCCAGGCATGCAGCTCTTCATTCAAGAGAAGTCGCACACTTCTCAGATGGTACGGACAACGCCTGGGGGTTTCAGAGGGTGACGACAGGCAACGTGGTGTCTGAGTCTCTCTGCCCAGAGAAGCTTTTCTAACATATTTGTTGGCAAACCCCAAGTCAGCCTCCAGGACACAGGTCCCGCATCACCCTCCTTCTCTGTGACGCCTTCTTTAAGCCACTCACGCACCTTATCCCCAGGGAGACATCATTATAGTGCTTCCTCTACTGAGCGGACTCCTTGACGATGATGATGATGATGATGATAATTATTATTACAGCTAACACTGATCCAGTTCTAGTAATGCACCTGGCACAGTTCTAAGCACTAAGTTCATATAATGAGGTGTTTCCATCTTTCAACAATCCTATGACATAGGTATGCATGCACCATTATTTTTATAATGATTTTACTGATGAGGAAACTGAAACTTAGAGAGTTTAAGTCACATACGAGAAGTCATCCCTTTACAAAGTGGTGATCTGACTCCTTAAGCCGGGTGTGATATGAGCTACTACGAACTTCTTGAGATCACGGGCTACCCAGCCTTTCTCACCTCTGATTCCTTCTATCTGGACCTTCTAAGTACACAGAAGGTGTTCAATAAATGCTCTGAATGAACTTAGAAATAGAACTCATGTCACTAATTCCAAAAGCTGAACTCTGCCCTTCCAGCGGCAACAGACATGCCCCTTCAACGGGAACCATTTGGGATGGCTACACTCCTCTCATTTTCTCTGCTGACATTAATTTTCTCTCTTTTGTTAACGGCAGAGAAGATGGGGAAGGAAGGAGAAAGGGCTCAGGAAGGATCTCACTCCAGAGGACACATGCAGCCCAGCCTCGGAGCCCCTGGGAAACAGCAAGGGTCACCGGGTTCAGTGGAGCTCACCTCCTGGGGCTGGACATGCCACCGCAGTGGTCACCTGGGGACTTGCAGCAGACAGCACAAAGCTGCAGTACGAGGCAACCAGACCCAAGTGGGCCACAGGCATTCAACCCGAACCCTGGCTTTAACCATCGATAACTTAAGAAAAAGAAATACCTCTTAAAGAAGCCAGCCCAGGCTTTAAAACAAGGATGAGGTTACCACAATTCTTCAGAGACTAGTTTTCTTACAAGAATCACACACCATTCCAGCTGGAAGAGCCCTCAGAGATCACCTGGTCCAATCCCCTCACTGTTGAGGCTCTGAAGGTTCAGGGGCCGGTCACCTGGTCAGGTAACAGCCTAGGCAGGGTCAGAGGCAGTCTCAGCCTGTCAGTCCCTCCACCCCAGCTGGCCTCACCCACTGCCAAGCTTGATTTCTTCTTCAAATTAAGCCTTACCATCACTATTTATTCACTTGAAATATAAGCTCATGGAAAGTCTGATTTCTCAATCCAAGGCACAGAACGGCGTCCAGGATCACACAACTCCAAATGGACTCAGGATCCAGCCCTGCAGTCCCGAGGCCGTCGGCCGTCTGACCACAGTTAGCTCATGGTCCCCGCCATAATCAGTTACTGAATGCAGTTATTTTAAGTGCTAATGCAATCTATTTACAGCTCCTCCGGATGGAACGGAGTTACTCAGACGCTTGGCTTCTATACACTTGGCTTACTAATTTTATGAAACCTTAATATTTTAACTCTTTAGCAAAACCAACTGAGAACAAAAGAAGATAACCAACCAGAGTGAGCAAAGCCTTATAAACTATTCAAAAGGCATCTAAGCCAGTGGTGGTTCCTCGCCAGGAATGCAGGGCTGGCCCGCACCTTCAGAAGCCCTCCCTTGTCAGGCCTGGGGTGAGACCAGGACGAGGAGTTCCTGGGCTTGGAGACCTCTGGGCTCGGGGCTGCTGGGGTTTTTTTGGGTGGGGCGGGTCGCTTTCCTGGAGAGTGTACTAGGAGGAGAAAAGGACTAGACTTCTGATGCTTGAGGAGTCTTTTTCAGGCCTCTTTTCTGGCTTCCTGTCCTTTTTTTGGCAGAAATCTGCTACACATCCTGGCTAGTTTTTTGCAGTGTCTGGGAATCCGGAGGAGCCTTTCTCTGCCCAAGAGCAGTCTGGGGCCTGGGGCTCTGGTTTGGATGCATCTCTGCTACAGCTGCTTCTGCTTTTTGGCTTTTTTTTCAGCAAGGGCTGCCTTGATGGCAACTGGGGGCAACCATGTCCTCAGACTCCTGTGCCTGCGGAGCGAGCACTGTGACGTGTCCTTTGTTTCTGTTTCAGCTCAAGGCCATGGCCATCTGGAGCTCTGTTTATTCCAGCTATTAGCTTCGGCTTAGCTGGGGTTGGCTTATAATTTCGGTTTCTCTGTCAACAGCACAGAGTGCTTATGAATGGGCTGTGGACCAGATGCACGGGTTCAAGTCCTAGGCAAGGTACTGTTCTGTGACTCTGTCTCCCAGCTGTAACCTGGGGAGATTACAGCACGCCCCTTATAGGGTTGCTAGGAGGATCAAATGGGTTAACGCAGGCCTGGCACAGAATAAGCACGAAGTATATGTTAGTCCTTATTATCAGACTATTAGTAATTGCAATTCCTTTCTTTTTTCGTAATCCCCTGACCAGTATAGAGTTTTTGCTTGAAGCTAATCCAAACTGCCCCTGGTGGAAGACGACAGCTCTTTTGATCTCTGGTATAACTGGACACTTTCCCATCCAAACCCTGAGAGCAACATTGATTTCTGAAATAGATGATTTGCCTTCATTTCCAGAACGATGATTAGACACCCCCTCTGAAGTCTTTGTGAAACAGCTCACAAATAAAAGTGCTTTCTTTCGAATGGTGGCTCATTCCGCCATCCAAAGATCCACTGTGGCTCCCAAACGCTGCTCGCCAGCCTGTCCTACCTCCCTGGCCCTCGCTCTCCGCTCCAGACAAACCCTCTTCGCGATCTCGTGAATCGGGGAGCCGATCCTTCCCCTCGTCCTCGCACGCTTGCTCCAAATCCAGGCCTCCCGTACTCCCGCCTCCTCCAAAAGGTCTCGCAGGGGCACTCCAGCTAACAGTGCTCCTGCCAAGGCTCACAGCTGGAGCAGGCGGCCAATGCACAGCATTTAACAATGACGTCAGGTGACCTGCTTGTGGGCAGGGCTTCGACTGAATGAAGTCTTGGCTCCCAGGCTCCTGTCCTCAGAGGTACCTCCAGGAAGTCAAGGGCGGAATGCTAGATGGGGGGAGAAGGGCGGCAAAAGTGAAACCTTCCGTTGAGGAAAGACTGGGTGGCCGTGTATCTCCAGCACCTCTGGTTTCTTCCTTCGTTCATTTATTCATTCAACATCCCCCCACGCATCTGCCAGGTGCCTCCTATGTGCCAGGCAGACACACACACACACACACACACACACACACACACACACACACACACACAGTGCCGGATGCACCGTAGAGCTCAGTAAATATTTGCAGAAAGAAAGAAGGACAGAGGAGAACAGCTCTGCACCCTCTGTCTCTCCCTCCTTTCTGGGCCACCACGCTCATCCTTCCGTGGCTGTCCCCTCGCTGGTTCTCCTGGGAGCCCGCTGTGGGCCTGACAGCCAGTGGGAGAGGACCTGTTGACTATTAATGACCTGAAACTTACTCAGTGACTCCACCTCACTGGCAATAAATTCGGTGCTTGAATACTGCCAGTTACTCAGGACCCCGTGCAGCTCGACTACAAACAGTAACAGCTAGCTTGTTTTTGACAAAAACACACAACGTGCTTTTTTTATAGTCATCACCTCACACCCAAACTACTGATTGCACTAGCCCGAACTCCGTGCCCTGGCGTGTTTGGCATTCTACTGCTAGCTTTGTCCTACCCAGGTATTTTTGGTTATTGTTTGGTTTTTTTGTTTTGCGCTGCCCTGGCTCAAGAACATCTGAGAACACTTTGGCCCTGGGGCTCTGCACCACCAGCCTGGGTCACCCCTGATGCCCCCCACCCCAAGCAGCCCCAGCCACACCAATCTATTCACCAAGCAATACCTGGCTCAGCCTGACCCCCGCACTCCACGTGGGATGCACTTCGGACCCTCCCCAAACTTCCTTTACCCAGCCTGACCTCCCTTCCCCAGGCTTGGGGTTAAACACTGGGCTGCTTCTGAGTAAGGCTGTCCGGGTTCAAATTCCAGCTGAGTGGCCTTGGGCAAGTAGTTCCACCTCAGTTCCCCCACCTGTAAAGTGGGAATGACAGCAAAGGCTCCCTCCTCTCGAGGCTGTGAAGGCCGAGTGCAGTCACACGTGTAACACACCAGGCACACGGACTGGGGCACAGAGTGGGCACTCAATACGCACGCGTTGTCATGCCCATACCTCAGACTCAGCAGGTTCACTTCTCTCGGGAATATCGCTCCTCCACCCTCTAACTAGGCTGTTTCCTGAGCGCGGAG